GCTACCAGAGCTCAGTAGGTGCCTAATAAAGCGTGCTTGTCCAGTACTGACGGATCCCTGTAGCTGGGGTGTGCTGCTGGCTCTCCCATAGTCTCCGTTTCCCCTTCTGCCTGGCAGTGGGACTGTATATGCCATCTCCCTCTGGCTCCCACCTCTCTGAACTTGGCTGGTAGACCTGGCTAGAATGGCGTGCAAGCAGGCCCTCGCAGGTCTTCTGGGGGATGAGATTATGACAGACATTCTCCAGTTCTCAGGGCAAAAAAAAACCCTCTGTGGTGTGGACAAATGGAGCGTTTTCTGTTCTAGGCTTTCCTTATCTGCATCCACTGGGTGTCTGAAGCTGCCTGTCTCCCTTGAATCTGGAGGCGCACTGCCCCGGGCACTCAGTTATATAACTTGCTATTTTCAGCTCAATGTGAAAACATTTTCTGCTACTCGGGATGAGTTTGAGAACTGTTGTCCTCTGGATACTGCCCCAAGGAAATCCTCATCCTGATGTTTGGCTCTGTGCAAATTTGCAGAATGGACCCTGTCTCCCTCTGTCCTGCTTCATGCTTTTTTTACTTGACTAACTCCTACACATGCTTCAAAGCCCTAGCAGTAATACCCACTTCTCCATGCAGCCCCCAAGTCCTCGTTCCTTCTTTAACAGAACTTTCTCCCTGACTACCCTCAGTTGTTCCCTCTGGACCAACCATGCTACTCACCCCCATAGAAGGGCACCCATTGGTAGGTCTTCTGGGAGCCCAGGATAGGACGGCCATTGTAGAGGGCACACTGTAAGTCTCGGAAGGGCACAGCCCTTGGCGGGCAGTCCTGAGGCAGAGATAGGTGGGTGAGAGGCTGGAACAGGCTTTCAGATTCCTCCTCCCTCAGCCTACGACAGTTCCCGGGGAAGCCTGCCAGGGTGATGGGTGTATTTGAGGACATGAAAGCTTTGGGAAGACTTGAGGGTCTGGGAGGTGGGCAGAACTTACCGACAACTGGCAGAGCCGGTACTCACGGCTGTCCCCCCAGCATAGCTCTTCCCCAGGAAACCTGCAGAGAGAAGGTGGTGGGAATGTGGTCAGGACCCCCAGAGACCCCCTCCCCACACACAGCACGACTGTCTGCCCTCCACCCCTCCAGCCCCACCCACATTCCAGCTGGCTCAGTGGGATTAAAGGGCACAGCATGTGTGGGCAGGCTGAGGGTGCGGTCAGGGGCTGGGCTAGGAGGGTAGGAGAGGAGGGGCAGGGGACCTCGACTCCTCACCGGATGCAGTACCGGCTGCGAACAGAAACCCCCCGGCCACATGAACTGGAACAGTGGGTCCAGGAACCCCAGAGCGTCCACTCACCTGGACCCTACTTGGGGAGAGAGGGACATGGCAAGCTGGTGACCCCCAATCACTGGCTGGGGTCCCATCCCACCTGCCCATGGGCTCTTACCTGAGCACTCCCCTCCAGACCACAGGTCAGTAGAACCCCGAGGAGCAGCAGCAGGGAACTCTGGGGCATGCAGGGTCTGGGGAAGCAGAGAGACCACCTATAGTGGGAACCAGCAGCCCACCAGGGACCAAGGCCCAGTTCCACCCTGACTGGCTGGACCGCCCTGTCCAGTACCCTTGCCTCTCTGAACCTCATTCTCATCTCTGAAAATGGGGTGATTTAAATAGAGTAGCCCCTACGGGAAAAATGTGAAGGGCCCATGGGATCAAGTAAGGAAAGCAGGAGGCACAGAACTTCCATGGAAAGGGGGTTCACACAGTTATCTGCTATAACTGATTATTGCTAGTTGGTTACTGCTTTAGAATATACGCAGTAGATACTTAATAAAGGTGATGATTGAAGGGGTCACTCAAAGTTAGTACACAGAGGTCTCCTAGAGTTGGGGGCCCCCTCCCACCCTCTCCACCATCTTTGTTTCTACCTTCCTGTGTGGCTGGAGGCCAACCATGTCCCTTCCCTGGGCCTCAGTTTCCCCATCTGTACAGTGAGGACCAGCTGGACTCAATCCATGATTCTATGAGACCCTGCAGAGGGTGTAGCCAGTGGGGACTGAGTCAGAGGCTAGGGCCCTAGCAGAGGCTCCTCCAGCCTCACCCTATCCCCCCAGACATCCAGGATTGAGGGTGGGGCAGGAGAGGTGACCTAGCCCAGGTCCAGTCAGTGTCTCATGACCTCATCTGCACAGGGCACAGGAGGGGACACCAAGGTAGCCTGCAAGGAAAGAGACCACCCATGAGGCTGGTGGAGGAAATTTGGGGGGGCATGGTGACAGCTGGGATGGGAGACTTTGTTGCCTGGGGAAACTGAGGCGTTTCCCTACCTGTGGGGGAAGGGTGGAACCACTGGCCAGCAACTGCCTCGTGTGACCCTAACCTGGCAGGCGAGAGGTGAATGGAAGCCAGCCACCTTGTTAGGCCCTTCTCAGGTCAGGGCCAGGCGGCTGGAGGTCAGCAGTACTGGAAGGGCGGGCAGGACATGCTTTCCATCTCCAGCCCATCAAGCTGCTGAGCACTAGATGGGGAGAAGGTCGTGGCCCATCTGAAGCCTTCCCCTGCTTCCCCTGGGCTTCCAGTGTATTGTGGGATCTGGACCTGAGATGCTGAGAATCTGGGGAGGCTGGGGCTGGTGCAAGGACCACACTAAGCAGACTGCATCTCTGCCCCTCTCTGAGCCCAGGACACCAGCAAGCCCAGGAGGCTGGCAGGACTGGAGAGAGCAGGAGAAGAGGAGGGATCTGAACTTCTGACAAACCCCACCCTCTCACTCGGACTCCCAGCACTGGTAAACAGGAGTTGAGAGGTCCAAGAGATGGAAACTGGGGGGCCTGAAGTACCACCTTTCCCACTCCCTAGCTCTCATCCCAAGGAGAAACATGCCATCCTTCCCACCCCACATTTTGTCTGGATCCTTCACTTGCTGTGTGATTTTATGACTAGCCATATCCCTGGACATAAGCTCCCCCTTTGGTGATGGAAGCCACTCTCCACCCAGCACAGCGGGGACCAGGAAGGAGGGAGGAACAGATTGTACGGCTGGCCAGGACACCATCAGGGAAAGTGGAGGGATAGGAAGGGGGACTTACCGGCCAAGGCTGTGCGATCAGGCTCCCAGGCAGCCCCAGGGCGGGCGGAAACGGCGGGGCCGAGGTGAGGGGCGGGGGGAGCTGGCGCGGCCCCTCCCACAGGGCCTCCTGGGGCGCGCCCAAGCCTGGGTCCAGAGGGGCCGCGACTGTGTGCGCCCCCGCGTGGTGGCCGACGCGCACCTCGCTCGGGATCTGCGGCAGTGGATTGTCTGCCTGGCTGGCGCCTGCCGTGTCCCCCAACTCCGCGGCCTGTTCTCGGACGTCAGGGTCTCAGTGCCCTTGGACAGGCCAGGGGGGAGGGAAGCAGGCTGGGGCTGCTATTCTGGGCGTAGCGCTCAGGGCCCGGGAATGTGCACTCCCCGAGGTCGCCCAGCCGGGTTCCGGGAGTCCTGGGCACTACCAGTAACCCGCTAACGCCCAGAGCGCATCCCAGCGGGGGCCCCTGGGTCCATCCCCCACCCACCGCTGCCCTAGGGTGAGTCTCCTCAGTGACGGGGGGCCCCCAGACGCCTGGCTTCGGATGCCAGGGGTGCACGCCTTGGGTCCCGGCCACCCTGACGAGGGCCCCAACGCACCCAGGAGAAACGCAACCCAGGGTGGGGGGCGCCCCCTCCCAGGCGGCACATTCCCGGGCTCTGCTGTCACCCTAAGACGCGCCCGCCCCACCCCTCCTCCGCCCTTCCCGCTGAGCCCCTGGGCGGCTTTTTGGGAGTCAGAGGGGCGGGCTCCTTCCCGACCGTGGGCTTCCCCCCCCCCCCCCCCCACACACTCCGACCAGTCTCAGTTTCCCTGTCTGCATTGCTAACCTTCTAGCTCGAGCTCGGCTGTTTGTGAGGGCAACTACAGAGTGACCTAGACGGCGCCCAGCCATAGTCCACGCAGGGACGCAGTCCCTCGTTGTTGCCCCGTGGGGCCCACTGGTGCTCATGGTGCTGGGATGGGGGCACCGAGGAGCCGGTGGGTGGGGAGGGTGCCCCACAGGCCCCTGGGTTTTGCTTTAGTTCAACTTAGGAACTTGGAACTTCCTCCAGGAAGCCCACCTTGCCTTGCCTTAGTCCTGAGCACGCTGGCATGGGCTCAGGAGGGCTTGCTGGTCCAGCTTTGTCTCTTCTCCTACCTGGAGCTCCTACACGCAGTACTAACTGACGTCAGTCACTCTTTAATTCAGTTATTCACTCATTCTTTCATTCTACGTTTGCTGACACCTACACCTGCTGTTCGGAAACCCTATACGGGATCGCTATGGGTCTGAATGGACTCCATGGCACTTAACAACAAGCCAGTTTGAAGGAGCTCTGGTAGCATAGTGGTTACGAATCAGGCTGCTAATCTTAAGGTCAGCAGTTTGAAACTACCAGCTGTTCTGTGGGAGAAAGATGAGACTTTCTGCTCCCATAAAGATTTACAGCCTTGGAAACCCTGTACAGGGTCCCTATGAGTCGGAACCGACTCCATGGCACCAAGCCAGTTTGAACCACAAGGTCGGTGGTTCAAGCTGCTCCTTGGAAACTCTATACAGGGTCGTTATGGGTTGGAACTAACTCAATGGCACTTAACAACAACAACCAGGGACCGGGCACCTCACTCAGAAGGTGACTGCCACAAGGTGAGTGGATGGGTGTCTGCGTGGGTGAGGGGAGGAGGGCAGTAAAGGGATCCGCAAGTGAAATGGCCCAGAGGCAGGGATGTAGTTTATGCGACAGAGGAGGAGTCAGAAGGTTAGGAGGGGCTAGAGTCAGGTGCCTTGGGGTTGGGGAGATGGAGAAGGTTAGGTTAGGGAAGGACCACTGTTAATGGGAGTTGGGGGAGTGATGCTTTGCATTTTGGAAAAGTCACCTCTGTTTGCTTTGTGGGTCAGAGGGAGCCCAGGAAAGTGAGGAGGAGGTCGCAGGGCATCCTGGGGGTGTGGATAGGAGCAAAGAACTCAGGGAATGGAGGCAGCAAGAAGGCTGGTGGGTCTGCCTGGGAGTTGGCCCCTCGGGGAAGGGAGGGGCCCCATCTACTGAGATGCTCAGGCTGACTGGAGAGCGAGGGGGGTACCCTGGTGGTCATTCCTGACTAGCTGAGACATAGTCAGGGACATCAAGGATGGGTGTGGAGTCCAGGGCCAAGTCCGGATGCAGAGGGTGACGCGGGTGTTCTCAGCACATGGGTGGTGTTTCCAGTGGAGATAAGGTCACAAGAGCAAGAGTATAGAGAGAGATTGGCTGGGCCTGCAGCGTCAGAGTTCAGGATCAGGGAGAAGCTGTGAGCATGTGGGAACCTAGAGGCTGCCAAGGATTGCAGTAGACTGTGCTGGCTGCCTTGGAGAGGTGGTCAGCAATGGGGGAGACAGTGACCTTGGGGCTGATTGGAGGGAGTTCACAGAGGCTGGGAAGCATCATTCTCAACTCTCCTGAACACCTGCTGTGTACCCAGGGGCACTGTCAGTGGTGAACCCTCAAATGTGACCCAGTCCACAGCATCCTACAGGGAGTGCATACAGCAGGCACTGTGACCTCTAGGGAGGGTATACAGCAGGCACTGTGCCCCACAGGGAGTGCCTACAGCAGACACTTCAAGCTGTGGGCAGTATATGGAGGTGAGGCACTTGACCCTATAGGAAGCATATGCAGCAGTCACTGACCCCACATGGAAGGTATACAGCAGGTACTGTGCCCTGCCATGTGTACATACAGCGGGCACTACATTGAGGCCCTAACTGCATGGGATCACTGCCTGCCCGTTCTTCTGCCCTCCCCGGTTTTGGATTCCCCCCTAGTCCAGCCAAGTCCTCAGGCTGTGTGACTGGATTCAGTAGATCCCACTGAAGCTGAAAGTACATGGCATTGGTAGGGAGGTAGCTGCTTCACCAGTGGTGACCCCCCCAGGGCTCAGTTTCAGCTGGGATGCACCCTAAGTTTCAGCTGGAACCCCCCTCTCTGAGGCAGGGCCAGGGCTGCATGGCTTCGAGTGGACTCACATTAGATTGGATGTGATCCAGCCAGGCTCCTGCTTAAGAAATGCCCGTGAGTAGATCCTGTTGCCTCCTGAGGCGGGATGAAGATGAGGCTTTCTGCTCCCATCAAGATTTACAGCCTTGGAAACCTTGTACAGTGTCGCTATGAGTCGGAACCAACTCCACAGACCATAACCACCACCACCACCTCGGTAGAAAGGCTGAGGGGGTCCTGCAGTCACTTGTAGCTCAGTATCCCAGGTCTCTGGGGTTGCCCAGCTGTCCCTGGGCATGAGTGTGGGAGGGGCAGTATCTGGGATCCAACCATAGGAAGCAGGGCTCCGGTGATTGACTTATGATGAGCATGTGACCCAGGTGGGCCAATGAGACTCTTCCCTGAAACTTAAATGGACCATTTCAATGGGTTGCCTAGCAGCCAGGGTGTGAGCTGAGCTGATTTGCTTCCATGAGATACCAATACAGAGGTCAGGAAGTAGAAACCAGGAAGTTTTTGACATAGTCTGAGTCCACACCCGAATCCATCTACCTAACCCTGCCTCATGAACATAACAAAGCAACCCATTTCCAAATGGGATTATAACCATAGGCATGTTGTTGTTAAGTGTCAATAGAGTTGGTTCTGACTCAGCGACCCTGTATAGGGTTTCTGAGGAGCAGCTGGTGGGTTTGAACGGCTGCAGTTCAGTGCTGATCCACAGCGCCATACCAGAAGCCCACCACTGGATAGAGGTTAGGATTTGCAACACATGTTTTCTGGGAGGGAGGCATGATTCAATTCATAACAGAGGAGTCCCATATATCCTTTTGTGGTAGACCGAGTAGCAGCCCCCAAGATGTCCCCACCATGATCACCAGGACCTGTGACTATGGGACCTCATATGGCAAAAGCGGATCCTGCAGATAGAGAAAGTGGAGGATCTTGAGGTGGGAGATGATCCTGGATCACCCAGGTGGTCCATGTGATCTGAGGACGATGGGAGGGCAGAATCAGAGAGACTGGAAGATGATCTACTGCTGGTTTTGAACATGCAGGAAGGGGCCACGGTCCAAGGACTGTGGGATCTCTAGACGCTGAAAAAGACCTGAGGCAGTTCTCCCTGGAGTCTTTGGGAGGAATGAGCTGGTACCCCGATTTCAGCCCTATGAGACGTGTGGATGTCTGACACCCAACACTGTGAGACCGTAAATGTGTGTGGTGTAACAACGGTCACAAGAGACTGGGATACCCTTCACCAGCTGCCCCTCCTAGTGACACCATCTGCCACGTGGTACATTTGTCACAACTGAGAAATGTTATCTGGACTGAATTCCAGACTTTATTCACTGCCACCAGAGTTTGCAGTATTGTCCCTTTTCTGTCCCAGGAGCCCATCCAGGAGACACTGAGAGAGTCCTCTTGTAGTTAGCAGATCCATGCAGATGAAAATGCACTTTCTGCTGCCTCCGATGTCCACACAGCACTTTGCAAGGAGCCGGAGCCGATCAATGACCCTGCATTGAGGTGGATGCTTCCTTGCCAGGGGAGATGACACAGCCCCTGCCTGAACCTCCCACTGATGCTGACCCTGGACTCTTATGGTATCTACTGGGGGACAAAAGGCCCATGTCCCCTCATTTTTATCTTGGGCTGGCAATTCTGAGGAATAATCTACTCAGTTCCTCAGAGGGTCCTCCATGAGCTTAACCCCAGGTGCCCACAGTAGTAACTAGTTTTGCCCAATTCTCTCCGCAGCCCATTAATTCCTGCTTTCCAGACCAACCCCCTGCACCAAACCCTTGCCTCAGGCTCTGCACTGGGGGAGTGCAGACTGAGACCGACAGAGAGACAAGCAGCCCACTTTGGTCTTCCCTGGGAGCAAAACAAACTGTATCCATTGTTGGACAATGTTATCAGGGGTGGGGGTGGGGGTGAGGAGGAAGGAAAAGGACAAAGGGCCTCAGAACGGAGCCCTTGGCACCAGGAGGTAGAGCCTGGTGGAGAACCAAGAAGATGTGACAAAGAGGTGGGAGGCAGGAGAAAGTTTCTAGAAGGGGCCCCCATTGGAGGACACCGAGAGGCTGAGGGAACACGGACAAGAGTTGGTTCTGCAGGGAGGTGGAAGATCAGAGAGCCTGGGCACCCGATTTCTGTGACCCCAGTTTCAAAACCAGTACCACAATCACAGGGTTTCTGGGATGTGGTTGGCAGTGGTGACCCTTCCCACCACTCTGCTCATGAGGCCCAGCGTGAGCCCAAAGACACAGGGACAGACATGGGTTTGACAGGTCAGGAGCCCAGATGTGGGCTGAGTCACATCTTCCCGTTCTGGGATGTTCCCTCCACTCTGCCTAGCTCCTTCCAGAAGGACTGGCGCCCAGCCCTGTGAGCCACCCGAGGTCTCTGGGGAGTCCAGCGGCCAAAGCTGTCTCAGCAGTTGCCCTTCTACCTGCGGCAGGTATTTTAAGCTGAGCTGCAAGCTCGACTCCTGGGGAGTCTGCTGAGTCTGGGAGTCATCTCAGGTCAGCGGGAGAGTGGAGACAGAGGAAATACGCTCCGGGGACAGGTTGTAGGGGTGTGGGGGAATCATCGCCCACGTAGGAGGCCTACCTGCCTCCACCCTACCCCAGGAGTCCTGGGGGTGGGGGGTGGGTGTCAAATGGTGCCTCAGTTTCCCCTTTTGTAAAATGGGGACAGATCGACTTGGCATCATCTAATACTAATACCACCCAAATAGACATATCAGCTGTGTTTTCTGGGAAATTGGCAATCTAATGATGTATATATATATAGTTGTTTCCCATTTCACTGCAATTGTAAAATGTCATTTATTGTAGAATGAGGATTCCAAGAAAGGAAGATGAACGTCTGGGTTTCCCTACCTGGTTCCTGAACCCAAGGCCTGACCCTCCTTCTGATATGCAGGTACCTCAAGTCTGAAGCCCCAAACTGGGACACCACCCCCCTGGAGGGGGGTCTAAATTCACCCTTATTGAGCTTTCCTTTATGTTTGAATTGACGTAAAATTCACATACTAAAAGTAGCCATTTTAGAGTGTACAACTCAGGGAATTTAGTAGGTTCACAATGACATGTACCATCACCACTACCTAGTTCTAGAACATTCTTATCACCCCACTCAGAAACCCTGCGTCCATCAGCAATCACTCTCCACCCTCTTTCCACAGCCCCTGACAATCATGAATCCACTCGGTTTTAAGCATGTCACATAAGTGGAATCAAACAATATTCTCAAATCACTGTGTCTGACTTCTATTGCTAGTCACCATGTTTTCAAGGTTCATCTATGTTGCAGGGTGTATCAGAGCTTCATTCCTCTTTACGACTGAACGCATTTCCTCATGTGGATGGACCACACTGTGTTAATGGGTCCATTCCTCTGCTTTCTCTTGCTTCTAAACCCTCACCCCATCTGTCCTTCTGGTCTATATTTCCAACTGTGTGCTTCCTGTCACTCTCCAGGGCTGACCTGTTAGTTCCCTCCCCAGCACCTGTTCCGTAGGTAGGTAGGTTTTTGTTGGAAAAATAAATGAAATGGATGAAGAGGAGAGGATAGGAAGAGAGTAAGGACAGGGAGCGCTTTAGGAAGTGTTCCTGGGAAGGACAGGGTGGCACAGAGGGGTTGGTCCACAGGAAGCCAAAGTTGTCTCTGGCCTTTGTAGAACGGGGATGGCATTTGAGGCTCTGTCTCAGCTGCCCCTGGAAGCTCTGGGACCAGGTGAGTCCTAGGGACAGTTGGTAGAGGGGCCCAGGCAGGGTGGGGGAGGAGCTCTCTACTCACAGGGGTGTATACACGGATGAGGGGGTCTTCTGGGTCCGCAATGCAGTGGAGGCTCAGCCAGAAAATACAGCCAAGAGGACAGCCAGGAAGCTGGGGAGAGAGCTGGTCTTCGGGCAGCAGGCATCAGCTGACCAGGCTTTGAGGCTCAGGGCCAGCATCTTCTGACTTCTCTTCTGCTTGATGTTTGGGCAGCTCAGTGCCCGCCACAGTATGAGGGCTCCACCTGATACCTCTCCAGGGTCTTCTGGGGTGAGGTGTCTGGGGGCACACGTCCAGCTGGGGCCCAGCAATTCTGGGTTTGAATGTGTCTCCTCTGGCCTCAGTTTCCTCAACAGAGACAATGGCTTGGAATACCTACCTCCTGGAAAGGGCTTCTGGGAACCTTCCCATACCTTCTGACCAGGTTAAGTCTTGGGACAAGCTCCTTATAGTTCCAAGGAGAGCCAGGCCAGATGTATCTCGGCTTTACAGAACCCAGTACAGACTCTGCACACAGACTCGGATGAACGCATACGGACGGAAGTGTGCTCTCCAAGAGGAATTGGCTCTGTGTCCCCGTGGATTCCAGGGTGACAGTGACACGAGGGCTGCCCACCATCCAGTACTCTGTCCCCACGTCTCATTAGCAGGAGACTCAGGCCAGAGCCAGCTGGCTCCCAAATCCTTGGCTAGACCCCCAGGAAAGAGGCTGAGTGCTGCACCATCCCACACACTGGGGCCCCTTGTGGGGTCCCTCATGTCCTGTTCATCCCCATTCGACACACTACACAGGCAGACACATGACAAGTCAGAGGGTGTTTTCTGTCCCCTGGTGTTGTGGCCAGCCGGATACGGAAATCTGTTCTCTGGAAAATTCCGAAGGCTGATTCCAGAGCCCTGCTAACCCCTCCCCAGTCGTGGTGTTATGTAACCATTGGGGATTAATGCTGTGCACACAGGCAGCTGCCTGGATTCAAATCCAGCCCATATCCTTCCCTGGCCTGGTAAGGATTTAAACTCTCTGGGCCTCAGTGTACTCACCTGTAAAGTGGGAGCAAGTCTGTCCCAGTGTCCCAGGGCTGGTGAGAGGCTGGACTGGGAGAATACAAGAAAGGGTGTGTGAGCTGAATGTGGGGCACCACAGGGCTCACGGGTTCCCCCACCTTCCCCAGAGTGTCCACACCTGCCCAGTGTCTTCTTGTCAAAGGGGTCCCTGGAGCTCACCATTGGCTGTCTCAGTCCTCAGCCCTATCCCTGTCCAGGACCTCCCTCCCCCAACTCCAGCTTCCCTATAAATTCTGCATTCTGACTCCAGGCTTGCTTTATCGTGGTCCCTCCAGGACACAGAGATGACTAACACCCGCAGACACACTTACATTCAGACACAGAGCCACGGAATACACATCTGGAGATATAGCACAGCACACGGTCACATGAAGGCACACACGCCCGTGTTGGACAGACACACGCCGTGGGTCTTTGGAGAGTGGATCCCTCTGTTGAGGGGGATGCGGAGGTAATCCCTCTGGGCCCCAGTTTCCAGTTCTGCTAAATGGGTGCGCCGGCGGTTCTCAGCACCCGCCCGGCGCCATCCCTGTCCCTGTCCTCCCTCCCACCCAGCGTTCCCGCGCCCCAGCGCCCCCGCGCCAGCCCCCTCCTGCCGCACCCTTTCCCTCCGAAACGCCCGGACTCCGCCCTCCCGTCCCCGCGACCAATAAGACGCGTCGGGGCGGTGACAGTTCCAGAGCGGTGGTGGTTCGGGGTGCGCCGAAGCTGCGCCCGCGCCAGTTCCCTAGGCGCACGATGGAACCCGGACCGCGGCGGCGGCGGCGCAGAAGCCGCCAGTTGGTGGCCGCATTTCTGCGCGACCCGGGCTCTGGGCGCGTTTACCGGCGCGGGAAGCTGATTGGCAAGGTGAGGCCCCTCTTGCTTGGTCCGAGGTGGGGGACGCGCACGACCTGTCGCCTAGGTGCCCTGGATGCGGGTCGGGCGAATTCGGGGTCTACATCTGGTGGGCGTGGGCTGTGCGCCCGAGTCCGTGGCGCGAATCGTGTGGCGGGAACGGTGCCTGGCGTGTTGGGCCGTGTGTCCAGGGGCTAGAAATGTGGATGTGTTGGGACTTGGTGCCTGGGTGTATAACTCGTTCAGTGTGGAGTCTCCAGGTGTGTGTGCGTGGTTTTATGGTTCCAGGTATGTGTGTCTGATGTGAGTGTTATACGTTTTGTGCCTTCTGTGTGTGGTGTACTGCGCGTCCGTGTGTTGTGTGTATGTGTGCTACATTGTGTGTCTCTGTGTATGTGTTGTGTGCTGTGTTGTGTCTGTGTGTTGTGTGTCTGTGTGGTGTTGTGTGTCTGCATGCATTGTGTATCTGTGTGCTGTGTTGTGTGTTCATGGGTGTGTTTTTTGTTCTGGTTTGTGTTGTGTGTCTGTGTGTCCATGTGTCTGTGTTGTCTGTCTGTCTGTCTTTGTGTTGTGTGTCTGGGCGTTGTGTTGGGTCTCTGTGTATGTGTGTCCATGTGTCTGTGTTTGTCTGTCTCTGTGTATGTGTTGTGTGTGCATTGTGTTGGGTCTCTGTGTCTGTGTGTTGTGTGTCTGCATGCTGTATTTGTATCTATGTTGTCTGTCTGTCTCTGTGTATGTGTTGTGTGTCTGGGCGTTGTGTGTCCATGGGCTGTGTGCCCAGAGGTAGGATGTGAGCTATGTGTCCACACTTCTCAGCGTGTGTCTAGTTATCGGTGTGTGTGTGTGAATGAACCTGGCCACACCTCACTCACTAATGACCCACCTGTCTGCACATCTAGGCACACCTGTCCACTGAATGGGCGAATTCTCTTCCTCACAGGGCGCCTTCAGCCGCTGCTACAAACTAATAGACATGTCCACCAGTGTTGTGTTCGCCCTCAAGGTGGTGCCGCGAAGTGGGGGTGGGGCCGGGCGGCTGCGCCCACGGGGGAAGGTATATATAAATCCCTATCTGTGCCCACGGGCCCTATGTCCAAAGAGGTTTCCCAGATGGGTCCCTGCCCTTTCCTGGGGAGGGGAGAGACTGGGTGCTCGTAAGCATGAATGGTGGAGTGTGTGCACACCCGGACGGTGGAGTGTGTGCACACATGAATGACACACGGACGGTGGAGTGTGTGCACACATGAAGGCCGTGCCCACAGGTGGAGCGGGAGATCGCTCTGCACAGCCATTTGCGACACCGCAACATCGTGGCCCTGCATGGACACTTTGCTGACCGTGACCATGTGTACATGGTACTGGAGTACTGTAGCCGCCAGGTACCTTGGGGAAGGGTTGAGGGTAAGGGAAGCAGGACAGAGGCAGTGCTCACCCCGTGTCTACCTGTACTTACCTGTGGTCACATTCCCATGAATGTGCCCTCTACTAGTGTCCAGTCTTCAGTACTTCTTGTGGCCAAATATGCCCATCTGTGCCCATCAGTCACTCACCTGTGTCCACCTGTGATGTGGTCACGAGGCTAATTTAACTTATTTGCTTCCTTTTGAGTCCACTTGGAGTCATCCATGCTCACATGAGCTGACTTGGACTCACCTGTGGTGATCTGTGCCCACCTAGAACTCATAGATGCCTTCAATTCACTTTGCCCACTCAGCACACCTGAACTCACCTGTGTCCATTTGTGCCCACCTATGCCCACTCTGTGTACCTGTGATCATATATGGTCCTTCTCAAACTCACTTCAAACTCAAACCATCTGGGCCTATCTTAACTCATATGTTCGGATTTGGGTACCTCTAAACTCACTCATGCTCATCTATGTCCACCTGAGCTCACCTGTGGTCATCTGTGCCCATCCCACAATCAGCCATGTCCACCTTGGCCAAGTTGAGTGTACCTTTGCTTTGTTGGGCCCCTTGAACTCATGATGCCCACCTGACCTGAGCTCATCTGTGCTCACCTGTGTCTACCTGGCCCTGCGGCTTTGGCCTGCCCACCACCTGCAGTCTTTGGCCCACGTGCTGAAGGCACGGCAGACCCTGACGGAACCGGAGGTGCGCTATTACCTGCGGGGCCTAGTCAGTGGCCTGCGCTACTTGCACCAGCGGCGTATTGTGCATCGAGACCTGAAGCTCAGTGAGTGCCATGGAGGGGGCTCTTGGGGGGCTTCCCCTTGTGCAGCTTCTCCTTCACCCTCACTCCTCTGCTGGCAGGTAACTTCTTCCTTAACAAGAACATGGAGGTGAAGATTGGAGACCTGGGACTGGCCGTCAAGGTGGGGCCGGGGGGGCGCTGCCACAGGTGAGACTGGGAGGCTCTGAGAGGTCCCTTTGGGTGGGCACAGGTGAGATCTGAGTGTGACATGGAGGTCCAGACTCCTGAACCCCTACTCTCCCTCTCCCAGGGTACTCTGTGGGACCCCAAACTTCTTGGCCCCTGAGGTGGTTTCCAGAAATGGACACTCCTGCCAGTCAGACATCTGGGCTCTGGGCTGCATCATGTAAGTGGGTTCCCAGGCTGCCTGGGGCTGCGGGTGCGGGCAGGACTGCCCAGGTGGGACCAGGTATGGACAGGTGGGAGCACATGCAACTAGGGCAGGGCAGGTGAAACAGGTACCAGAGAGTTTGAATGAGGCGGTAGGCTGGTATGAGCATGCACAGAACAGGTGTGTGCAGATGTGGGCTAGGTGGGAACATGCACCTGTCAGCATAGGTGGAGATGTGTGTGTCAGGGAGGACAGGTGTGCGCAGATGTGGACAGGGAGCTGCTCAGATAGGTCAGGGCATGTGTCACTATGTTAACGGGTCACATACATGCAGAAGTAGCGCAGGTGTGGGATAGGTGCAGACAGGTGCTGGTATCCCCTAGCAGGTGGGGGGAGTGGCTGTGGCCAGTGATGTGAAGTGGAAGCCGAGTAACAGGGTACGTAAAGAATTGGAGTGTGTGGGTAGGTCTGGCCAGGTGTGCACAGGTAGATGCAAGCAAACCCTGGATGACATACAGGATAGATGCAAGCAAACACCCAAGTTCCTAGCCCCTCCACTTGGCCCAGGTATACGGTGTTGACCGGCGCCCCGCCCTTCACGGCAACACGATTGTCAGAGATGTACCAAAACATCCGTGCCGGCCACTACCCTGAGCCTGTGCACCTGTCACCCAATGCGCGAAACCTCATAGCCCGCCTCCTGGCACCCAATCCTGCTGAGCGGCCCAGTCTGGATCATGTGCTGCAGGATGCATTCTTCACGCAGGTGGGCAACGCCCCTGCATCCACACAACCTGGGAGTGGGAGCGTGCAGGGGCGGGTTAAGCAGTAAGTAAGGTATGAACAGGCTTACTCGTGCGTATTTACTAATCTGTCCCTGCATGCACCTTGCTAATTGGGTAACCTGCCCATGCTGGGGTACCTGAGCCCGTGGCTGACTCCAACATTTCCTCTGAAGGGTTTCACTCCAGACCGACTCCCCCCCCACTCCTGCCACAGCCCACCCATCTTTGCCATCCCACAGCCCCTGGGCAGGCTGTTCCGGAAAGTGGGCCAGCTGCTGCTGACCCAGTGCCGACCACCCTGTGAGTACCTCACCTTCCCACACCTGTCCACCTCCAACCCCAATGCTTGATCTCACCTGCCCATGCCTGCCCCTCATCTGCCTATAGCTCCCCCTCACCTGCCCAACACCGATCCCAACCCCACCTGCTCCACAGCATCTCCACACCTTGGCGGAGATGGATGTGGGGGGCAGGTGCCTCTGACCCCCACATGGATCCAAGCCCTGTGCCTCCCCTAGGTCCCTTCACTCCCAAAGATACCTCAGGACCCGAAGAGCAGGGTCCAGAGCTGGAATCCATGGAGTGGGGCAGTGAGGTGAGGAACTGGGGGCTAGGGGGCATGGACAGGTATGGACGGGTGTATGAAGGAATCCCTTTTCAAAGAGCCCCAGGGCCCACCCCCGCTGCCTCTGAACCCCCTCCTCCATTCAGTCTTCCCTGAACCCCTGGTCTGCTTACCCCCTCCCCATCGGGGCTCCCTCATCCTGGACCTCTTACCCTTTGCCATCCTGGTCTATGGGGCTGGGCCCATCTGTGTCCAGCTCTGTCCCGCCTGTCCAGGGCTTTCCCAAAGACCAACATCGCCCAGCTAATTCCATCCACTTGTTCATTCCATGCACATCACGGAGTGACTTGGAGGTGTGTTGAAGCAGCGTCTCAGTGGAAGCTTGTCTCTGTGTGTGCTTACTTGGCTCAGGGTTGGGCTGGGCTCAGGGAGAGGTCAGGGGTCTCCTGTAGGGGCTGCAGTGGGTCTGGGACACCTCACCCACCTGGGGCTTCTCCCAGACAGCTGGGTGCCCCTTCACCCTCTGCTCTCTTCTCAGGTTTCCTTGTCTGAGAGAGTGGCCCCCTGCCCCGAGGCCCCCATCCGCATGCTCACCCAAGGGAGCCTCCGGAGTGACCCTGAGGGTGAGCAGACCCCGGCCTTTCAGGAGTTGGTGACCCCACCTGTAAAATGGGACTGCTGTACAAACTCTTCTGGGTCAAAAGTTCACTTTTTCCTGGATGTGGACAGCCTGGGTCTGCCTGCCCCTCCCCTCCACTGCTCTGTCTTTCCAGGGTCGGAGCCGGGCCTGAGGTGGGAGGTGGAGATGGCCATTCAGAGTCTGCAGCTCTGCCTGGATGCTGGCTCCCCAGGTAGGAGCCTCACCCAGTCCACAGGGGGCTCGTCTCTCTTAATGTCCCAGGAACTCTGCCCCTTCCCCATCCAGACTTCTGGGCACTCTGGGCAGAATGGGGAGAAAGTGGCCTCAGTTTCCTTCCGGGGAACCCTAATGCTATGGAGGCTGTCGTTGTGCGCCATCTGGGCTGTACTTTCAGTAACTCAGGGGTCCTGGTGGTACAATGGCTCAGCACTCATCAGTTAATCAAAGGTTAGCAGCACCAACCTACCCAGCAGCTCTGCAAGGCTTGGGGCAGGACCTGGGGCTGGGCAGTTCATAGGGGCTGAGTGACATGAGTCAGAATTGGCTGCATGGCACCCAACAACACGACTGTTATCTGTATTCTGAGCAGCATGTTGCGGGCACCATCGGTTTCTTGGGGTCTGGGTCTCTCAAGTTCTGAATCCTGTTTGAGAGTCAGAGAGGAACGGAGCAGAGGGATGTTACATGGGACTGAGGCCCGCACCAAGCCCCCACCCCCTAGTCCCAGGACTCCAAACCTCCCCTAACCCATGGCTTCCTGCCTGTGTGGACAGGGAGCCCAAACCTCGAACATAGGTCACTGACCTGTGGCAAGACCTTCTTTGTCACATAATTCATTTCAATTTTTTTCCAGTCCAAGAAAGTTTTCAAGTTTTACTTAAGCACTTGGAGTCGATTCTTTCTCTTCTTTAAAAAATTTTTTTAACCAGAATTAAAAAGCCATTTTAGATTTGCAGAAAATTTGCAGAGAATGTAAAGCGTATCCTTCCCCCCTCCAGCTTCTCCTCTTGTGAACACTTGTTATCACTGAGAAACTGACACGGGGATCCCATTAACACCCTGTTTCTGTTCCATGGCCTTATCTGCGTCCCCACATTGTATCACATGCTTTTTATTTTCAAGTCATTTTGAAATTTGATAGTTTTTATTTTATTGTTGTTGAAAATGTACCTTGCAAAACACATAGCCATTCAATAATTTCTACAAGTACAATTGAGAAACAACTCTCCTTTCCTGAATTGGCCCTCTCTCATAATAAAAACTCTCTGCCCCCCAAGTTTCCTAACGAATCTTTTGAATTGCTGTTGTCAGTTTGATTCCATATAGTTTGGCTTTTTCGTGGAGATCATGCTTGAAGAGTGCAGTCTCACAGCAGACACTCTTTAACAGTAAGCCCAACTATTACTTGGTTTAAAGATTTCAGGGGATAGTTTTGGTTGAAGGTCTAAAGATTATTTTAGGGCATCGTTTCAGAGGTTCCTCCAGCCTCCACAGATCCAGAAAGTCTGGATTCCATAGGAACTTACAATTCTGTGCTGCAGTTACCCTGTTTTGATCAGATTCTTTTAAAATATAAAATTTAAATAAAAATTAAATAAAGCTTAATAGTATGATCAGTATACCAGAAGCATCTTGTAAACCCATGGTCCCCAATACCGCCCTGAAAAGAAAGATTTGGTCATCTGTTTCTTGGACGTCTTTTGATAAAGCTACCACGCCCCTGCCCAGCCCCTGCCCCTTACCTCTGGCTCAGCTCACCTCATCTTTGTGCCCAGCTATGCAGGAACCCCCAGGAGAGCATGTCCCAGGAACTTTGCCCCTCCTCTGGGCCCCCAAGTGGGTGGATTATTCCAGCAAGTATGGCTTTGGTTACCATCTGTCAGATGGAGGCAGTGGAGTTCTGTTCCGGGATGGCACCCACATGGCCCTCCGCCCCCCAAGAAGGTAAGCAGGAACGTTCCTGTCTTCTGAGTGCAGACTCTCCCCTCACCTTCTTTCCTTCATTCCCCGACTATTTTAATAAGCACCTACTGTGTGCACCGACGCTGCCTGGTAGGGGAGACAAACAAATGAATGACTAAGTTGAATCAGGTAGAACTTTTCTGGAGGACATGAAGAGGGTGAGGTGGCAGACAGGGAGGGGAAGGCCAAGGTGGGAAGATGGCAGAAGGCTTGGCTTGGGGTGCATGGGAACCTCAGCATAGACTCACCACCGTTGACACAGAGACATCTCAGAGGAGAGGCTGCACAAGTCTGGAGTTCAAGTTCAGGGTTGAGGCCAAGGTTAGTTAAGCACAGGGGTGGGGTGTCTTAGTTCCCTAGGGCTGCTGTAACAAGACCCATCACAAGTGGATGACTTTCAGAACAAGGATTTACTTCCTCACAAGTTTGGAGGTGAAGTTCCTGGGTGGTGCCAACAGTTGAGTGCTTGATAAGTAGTCAGAAGGTTGGCGGTTTGAATCCACCCAGAGACACCTGAGAAGACAGGGCTGCTTCTGAAAGTTCATAGCCTTGAACCCTATGGAGCAGCCGTGCTCTGCACAGGAGGGACGCTGTGCGTTGGAACGGAAGGCAACAACGCAGAAATCTGAACTGAGTGCGCTGGTGTCTTGGTTAGCTCCACGAGGTCGGCGCTTCCTTGGCGTGTAGCCGGTCCTTACGTGGTGTCTGAAGTCGCTGTGCTCTCTCCAGCCAGGTCTGCTACGCCCCGGACCGCGGGAGACTGGAGACCTTCGCGCTGCGGGACGTGCCCAGCGCGCTCGGTGCCAAGTTGGCGGTCCTGCGTCTGTTCACGCGTCACCTGCAGCAGCAGCTGAGGGAGGTGAGGCTGCTGGGCGGGGCGGGCTGGGTAGCTGGAGACAGCAGGGTCCACTACCCCCGTGGCTGGTCTGCCCACAGGAGGGGGGCTCGCCCCGACCCGCTCCTCCGCCCGCTGGACCCAGTCTTTGCCTACTTCGCGTCCTGGTGTCCGATCAGGCCTCGGTGCTCCTCTTCAGCGACGGCACGGTGCAGGTGAGGGTTGTGTGTGTGTGTGGGGGGACACCGAGCGGGACACACTTTTCAGGAATGGCTCCAGGCTCTGGCTGCTGGGAAGCCGAAGAAGAGGAAGTGTTGGCTCCCAGACTCAAACCCTGCCAGAACCAAGCTCAAACCTATGGAAGCGGCAGCAGAATGCCATCTTGGCTCATCTCCCGTGCGATGTCACTTGAGGGGAAATCCATTTTTAGGGCGCATGTTTCCTAAGTGGTGCTAAGGGTTTCCAGGAGTCTGGTCCGTCTTCTCATTGGCTTTTAAAGCAATCGTGTAGAACACTGCAGTAGTTTATCTACTAGCAGTTAGAGTACAAAATCTGTGTACACACCAGGGGGTGGGAGGGGTGGGGGTGCTTGTCCCTGACCTGGGCTGGGGTGGCCGTAAGTTAGGGAGAAAGGCTTGCAGATGGCCCTGCTTGAAAACTGGGGAATTTGATACTCCTGGTGGCGCAGCGGTTAAGCACTCAGCTGCTAACAGAAAGCTGGAGGATTCAGACCGCCCAGCATCTCTGTAGAAGAAAGCCCTGCTTCTGTAAGGATGAGCCCATTGCTGACACCCAGCGACCCGATGAGACAGAGCAGACCTACCACATAGGGTCTCCAAGGCTGTACTCTGTGTGGAAGCAGACGGGGGACGTTCTCTGGAAATGCTGCTGAGAGAGTTCAAACCGCTGAGCACCTAAGCTCGGTGCCACTAGGCCATTGGCGGTGTTGAATGCCATCCCGTCGGTTCCGACTCGAAGTGACCCTATATAGGGATGCTGAGGGGTGCTGGTGGGTTTGATCTGCCAACCGTGTGGGTAACTGTCCAGTGCTTTTCCTACAGTGTCACACCAGGACTCCTGGGAAATCTTATGGGGTAGTTCTGCTCTGTCATTTGCGGTTACTGTGAGTCGGAGTGGACCCAACATGACCCCAAACACCAAGAATTCACTCTAGGGAGCGCTGGGACTGTGGGAGGCTGGAGTTTCAGAGTCCACGTTCTGAGAATTTCTTGGCTTTTTGGAGCCTTCTTTACAGGGTCACTATGAGTGGGAACTGACTCAACAACACGTAACACACACACATACACATGATCTCTGGTGAACAGAGTTGGTGGTGCCCTGGGTTAAGCATTGGGCTGCTAACCATAAGGTTGATGGTTCAAACCCACCACCCTCTCCATGGGAGAAAGATGAGACTTTCTGCTCCCATAAAGATTTACAGCCTTGGAAACCTTATACAGGGTCACCATGAGTCAGAACTGACTTGACGGTTACTGAACAGCAACAATTCCAAGGGCTCTGGTGGTGCAATGGTTAAGCACTCAGCTGCTAACTGAACAGTCGGCGGCTCTAACTACCAGAGGCTCCGTGGCCATTTGCTTCTAGGAGGATGACGAACTAGGAAACCCTAAGGGGACTGGGAGTCGGAATGAACGTGACGGCATCCAACAACACTTAGAAAAGGACAGTGATGTCCCCAGGCCCCAGAGTTACTGTAAAGAGCATCATGGTGGGGTTACCCTGGGTGCTTTGTAGTGGGGAGTAACCTCTGAGCCTCCATGTACCTTTGGCTCCGGACTTGGAGCACTTGTGTGTGTGGCCAGCGCTCTTGTCTTTCCTCCTGGAGTGTCCAGGCTTGGCAGCTGGGGGAGCCTTGTTACCTCCACCTGGGCTCTTTCCTTGGCAGGTCAGCTGCACCGATCAGCAGGCTCAGCTGGTGCTGACTGGAGAAGGCGAGAACCTGCTCTTCAGCTTCTGGGAACGGGGCCAGCCCATCACCTCCTGCTTGCTGGGCACCCTGAGGAGCCGAGGCTGCACCCCACCCAGCCGCCAGCGCCTTCACCATGCTCTCCGCATGCTTCAGAGTATCTAGTAGACCTGAGGGGCAGTGTGGACTTCTGCCTGGCAACACTTTTCTTCCTGGGGCTCGCCCAGAGGGCTTGGCCTTGGGTGGCGTGCAGGGGGCATGACTGTTCACCCCAACTTTTGTCTTGTCTTGTTGGTTTCTCATTAAAAGAAATCTTGACTCTGTCCTACGGTCATCTCTCTTATCAGCACCAGCGATCTTATCATGACAAGGGAACAGTCAAGTGGTATGTGATGTAGAGGCCACTTAAAAAAAGAAGTTCCCACCTGTCCAAACATGTATCTGTGCATGCATGTGTGTGTACAAGAGGTAGGCATGGAAGTGTGAGCAAAGCCACCTTTGTCAGCATCGAAGAAGCAACTGCTCATTTAAAAAGTACCCTCATCCATGAAAGCAGGGATTCTCAGTGGGGGGATTCTGTCCCCAGGGGACACAGGGTAATGCCTGGGGACATTTGTGGCTGTCACCACTGGGAGAAAGGGTGCTACTGGGATTGCATGGGTGGAGCCTAAGGGTGCTGCTCAACACCCTACAGAGCCCAGGATGCCCCACCCCAGAGAAGGAATGGTCCCCTGACCCTCAGGCTTACATGCCAACAGTGTTGATACAGAGACCCTACTTTAGAAATATCAACTGAAATTTTTACAGTTGTAATGCTTAATTTCCCAGTGCATATTTCTGTTCTCATCTGAAACAAACCATAAAAGTGGAAAATACACCCCCCCACCCCCCCATGAGAGCACACGTGTCCTTCAGCTCATAACGTTCATCAGCAGAGCTCGGGGCTGCACCTGGGGGGCTGGAGGTGGGGAATCTCCCTCCTCCAGCATGCAATGCCACACACTTGCTCAGGTAACCCTTCCGAGGGCTCACAAGGAGCAACAGGTGGGCCCTGGCTCAGCTCAGAGTAGGGTGCCACGTCTGAGACTCCAGCGGGGGCAGCATGGGCCTGTCCAGGTCCTGTCCACTCGTCCTATTTACCATCAACTCTGGAAGTAAGTATGGACAGGGTCCTTGTGAGAAATTGCGACCTGAGTCTAAATGTGAGTCCTGGGTCCCTCCTGGTTGTGTCAGCTCCCATGTCTACGGCATCCTGCCGGGGGACGATGACTTGCTTTTCCCCTGTGACCCCACGTCTGGATGTGTTTCTGCATCGATGCCCCTCCTTCCACTTACGAACTGACAGAAAAGCTGGCATTTAGGAGCCTGGAGGGAGGGCCCGAAAGGACAGAATGGTCAGTGTTGTGTGTGGGAAGGAAGGGAGGACCCAGGGGTTAGTAGAGCTGATGGGTCAGGAGGTTGCATGCCTTGGTGTGGCTGGGCCTAGGAGGAGAGGAGAAGTTGTATGAAATGGTGGTGGGGTGGAGGGGGGGCAGTGTGAAAGATCCCCTGGGGAAGCTGAGAGGACGGGGTGCAGCGAGATAGGAGGCAGTGGAAGAGGAAGGTAAACACTCTCATGAGCGTCGAGATCTTTTTCCAAGTTAACCTGTTGGCATTGCGTCCAATCTACCTCATAGCGGCTCTCTAGAGTGGAGTAGAACTTCCACATAGGGTTCTAAGGCCGTCAGTATTTCTGGAAGCAGACAGACAGCCTCATCTTTGTACTGAGAAGGAACTGGTGGATTCAAACTGCCGACTTTTTGGTTAGCAGCCAGGTGGTTTAATCACTGCACCCTCAAGACCCTTTAAAATGAAATTACTACTGAGGTGCAATTTATATGACAAGAAGGCAATCATGGAAAGTGCCATGTAGTGCCTCCACAACGCAGTGCAAACACCACCTCTGTCTAGTTCCAGAACCTTCTGTCACCCTAGAATGCTTCATAGACTTTGAAGACTTATTCTCCCATAGTGCTCTTCCTAGGCAACAACTAATCCATTTCCTGTCTCTGTGGATTTCCCTATTCTGGCTTCTTCACTGGGCATCATCCATGCTGGACACACATCAGTGCTTCATTCCCTTTTTTTTTTTTTTTTTT